TGAAAAATACATGCCAGCACAGATACTGGTAGCAGGAAAAAGTATTCAATCCAGTGATTCAAGTCTTCATTTATTTAAAAAAAATTCCTCCTAGAATAAAATTACATCATAGAATCTATTAGAAGATTGATGTTAGAACAAAAAATCAGTCCACAGGCCAAAGAGTATGGGTGAAAGCTATCCACTGTATGGGAATGCTAAAGATCTAATGTTATTCAGAGTATAACAAATTATAAAACAAATTTAATTTTGTGTTTTATAATCACTTTAGTGGTAAAATAAAGATGGGTTCCTTACAAATCATCTTAAGAAATTATGTAATATGATGTAAAGAGAGAGGGCTTTCAGTAGGTTGGCCTTGAGTCTGGATGTTGTCACTATTTCCCCTTAACTATACTACTCAGTCTTTGTAGATTTTGTTCTCTTTCGCTATAGTACAATATGTAAGCAATTAAAATTCATAACGGCTTAGAATACAGTTTGTGTTCAATGAAAATACCTATTTATTTTTACTAATTTGTTTTCAAAGGGGTGCTATAGCAAAGTTCATTTAAGATTCTCAATCCTAAATCACTGGCAAATATAGCTGAGTCCTAGGAAACAATTTTTTAATGCAAAACCATTCATGTAATTCTAAATCAAAACACTTTCACAACATTGAAAGTTGGTGAGTGGTCAAGGTGTGCTGCTGTACATACTGCCCTTTTCTGACTGTGGTTAGGACCCGGTCCTCGTCCACAAGGGTGGCAGAGGGCAGAGGCGGAAAAAACACAAAAGAAAGGTGGTAAGGAGCCTTGGCAAAGGAGCAAGAGGCCTGCAGAAGGGCAAGGGGAAGGGAACCTCCATTAAAGCTGGGCCAGCAGTCCCAAGTTGGCTCTCCTGCTCCAGAGGTTGGGTGAGTAGGAATCTAGAAAATTCACAATCGGGGCGCGGGGCCAATCTGGCTTTGCTAACAAGTTCTTGGGATGCTTTTGCTGGTGGGGCTGTCCTGGGCTCTACTTTATTACATATTACGAATGATTTGTTTTCCTACCCACCAGTTCTACCACCTCCTCAGTCTTTGGGACTAGACCTCCCACCCATATATGAAGACTCTGCTCACACTCACAGTCCCTAGGAAAATTGACTACATAAATTTGCTTCTTTCAAGAGAGATCATTAAAGAAGATGGCAGAATTCTGTATACTGCCAATATATATGGTGATTAGGCTTATATAATCAAAAGCAATGCTAAATGGCTTTATAATTCTTAATAAACAGGCAATTTCTTTTCTGATATATGCAAAATCAATTCTGATAGACTTTGCTCTACATATCAAGACTAGTATGGAAATTTTTTCCTAACCACCCAGCTGCTACAATGTTAAATTAATTTTAATCTTAAATCAAAGATATAATGGAGGAACGGGTGATTTAATATGCAGTCTCATTACATTTGACAGGCTTATTTATAAATGATTTGCCCCACATTTTGACAGGCATAGTTAATATGTTAATTAGCTCTTAAAAGGTGATGAAAGGAAGAGACCGGCATGCCATCGGTCTTCGCATACTGTGTTGAGGAGCACTATAGCTGATACCCAAAAGCACCAGGATGCTGAGGTAATCATTTATTAGCTATAGATAACGTAGTCATCTGATATTTAAAAGTAATTCCTTTACTCAAGCACCTTCAGAGTTAGAAAACAAATGCAGCTCTAAATACACTTACAAGCTTCTATTAGGCATATAAAGCTTATTTGGATCAATGGCCTCAACTTCAACAGCTACAGCAGAGCTCCCTGGCAAGTGCAAAACCGCACAGATAAGCTGCTTTTACATCTGTGCTCCTCCTAATGTCGTTTTTGGAACCTGGTGAGCCTTTTTGGTTTAGAAGCTTAGCAATGATTTCCGATGCTCTGACTTTCAAAGAGTTACAAAATCCAAGAATTAAGAGAAGTTATACAAGAGGTAATGTCCAATTTGATTCCTCTGCTTAAATTCATCTTTATGGGGGGAGACAAAGATTTCAAAAACTGATCTTCCCTGAGGATTTCTCAACACTGAGTGTATTCGCACACCCTGTGCAGCTGGAGAATGAGAGGAGCAGAACGTTAACAGTCCAGCTCTGATTTTCATCACTTGCTGACAATGGTAATGCCTCGGTGTCTTCATTAATATTTTCATAGCCTGTGGCTATTTAAACAGAAAACTGGAAAATGTAACACCGCAGAGGGATCGTTAGTTTTTAGTTGCTACCTTACTGCCCCTGATGGTAAATGAACTGTAAAAATAGCCTAAAACTACTGCCACCTGCCTCCCTGCTACTATCCATGGGTTAATAATATTTGCACTTCTTTTTGGTGCAGCTGAACCATGACTTAATTATATTCCCACTTCTAGGTGTCTGAATATATAGCATCAATGTCACTGCTCATACAAAAATCACTGCCCTGTGAATTTCTCCCTAATTGGAAAAACACATTTGTTTTACCTGACTTATAGCATAATAACAAAATACATTTTTAAAAATTGCTTGGAATGAAATCATATTTAGAACGACAGGAATAGGACAGGCAAAACTCAATTTTAGGGCTTAGAAGTGAAGAGAAAATAAGCAGAAGAAGCTGCTCAAACCTAACACACTTGCTACTGGTTTTTGGCAATGAATGATACTGGCATATAGACAAAAGGGCATTTGCGGTCTACTATTTTCTATCAGTTTTCCTCCCTACCTCTTAAATAACAGTCTTCTTATGCTTTCATTATGTGCCCATTCAAAGCAAATTGGCAGGAAGCACCACAGCCATCTTTATGGAATACACACACACACACACACACACACACACACACACACACACACACACACACACAATTAAAGGGAGAGAATAAAGGCAGAGACTAGAAAACAAATACATCAGAGACAGACATACTAAGTGAGTCAGACTCCAGGTAGGTCTTTGTACATTAAAAAGCAATTTTAAAGGTGTATGAAAAATTAGCCTCCAGTGTATTAAAAAGTTTCTCCTGCTGGGGATTTGGCTCAGTGGTTTTGCCACCTGCCTCGCAAGCACAAGGACCCAAGTTCGATCCCAGGTACCAAAAAAAAAAAAAAAAAAAAAAAAAAAAAAAAAGAAAGTTTCTCCTGATTATGAGGGTACAGTCCTAACTGAACTGCCAAGTAAGACAAAACTGGCTCCAAGCTACAAATGCTTCCAAACTAGGCTATATTAACATAGTCTTGAACTGAGTTCAATGAAAAACAACCTAGGATTTCCTTAATTTAAAAAAACTGAGAAAGATGCTCCACAATTTAAGAATTTTAAGAAATGATTATTTGTATAACTAACTCTCCGTTAAAGGCAGAAAGTACGAAGTGAATGAGGAAGTTAGCAACTGATACTCTGATGTGCTCACTGGCCTTTATTTCAACCTTTTCCTCCACTGCAACCACTGATTCAAGTATCTATTTTGCCCATGAACCTGATCCAAATTCAGTAAGCCTGACTTACGAACAACCTCTGTTCCAGGAGAACTTTTCATAAGCTGACAAAGTGAGTCTTATACAGTACACCTGCGAAGTCTGCAACTTGAGTGTTCATTAAATCAGGGTCCTCCTGTATCTATTTTGATCAAGAACCTATTTTGGAGGAAAAACATTAACTGTGCAAACAACCATTTAAAAAATCAAGAAGTGTGATAAAAAAAATAGATTAGCTTATCCATTCAATGCTAGATAGTCATCTGTATTGGCAGAATCTTAGAGTATCATGAAAATGGCACTGGATTTATTTATAAAGCATTACAAAATCCAGGAGAGCAGATCTAAGGAGGTTTGGTGACCTAGATTCCTTTCCACCTTTATTGAAAGCTACTTACAAAAATAAATATGTCCATGTATACATAAAATGTTGCTTATATTTTCCATGGCAGATCCTCAAATCCCATTCTTAGGAGCACTGCTGGAACCTAAATTTTAAAAAATCTCCTCTGTGTACTACATTGCAATAAACTTGATTTTTCTCTTACCATAAAATTTTGGGACAAACAGGTATGGGAAGAAGCCAGGTCTCACCACAGTCTAATTTACTCATAGCCAAGATTACTGGGGAAAGTCAATAAATTAAGTTTCTAGCAGTAAGATAAACACATGCTGAAGTTTCATTGAGGTCATAAATATGAGGTGAATGTATGGCCAAAAGACATGGGAACATAGTTATTCAGGGAAGACGACTACTAAAATAAAGTAGCTATGTGAATTATTTTACTTATAATACAATTGTGAGTCTAGTAAAAAGGACCTCTCTATGAATAAAAGGCAGAACAGCCACTAGTGAGTGTATCCTGCGTGCTAAAATTAGGATTATTATCTTATATTATTATTATATTTAAATCACCCTTGTTTGGGAGCTTAGAGCAGTTTTACCATTAATAATAATTACATGTTAAATATCGCTGGGTCTTTGCAATCCATAAAATAAACTTTTAAGTTCTGCCTCACCACTGCATAAAACTGAGAGTCTACTGAAATTAAATATATGATATTTTTAAAGTAATCATTTTGTTTCACTTTGGATAACTGGTATCAAGAGTTTTCAGTGGTATATTGTGACCCAATTTGGGGCTTAACAGTTGTACCAAAATTTTCAGTCCACTTATCTGAGCTTTGTTGTGAATTTAAAACATTCTCCCTGCTACTGCCAATTCTAGTGCTGTTTGGAGATACACACTTTATTATTATAAAATAAAGCCACAAATTAAGACCCTTAGGGATAAAACCACAGTAACTGACAGAAAAATGTCTGTGCCCCTGTCCATCAAGAACCATTAGTAGACACCATCTGCAGGCGCCTCTGATTAGGGAATTCTACCAGTCATGTTAAAAATCCAGTCGCACTGCCACACACAGGCAACACCCTTGCACCATCAATCTTCATTCCCACAGTTAGGGTGTTTGTCTAGGCATGACCCGGACCAAGCACCACACACAGATTAGCTACAGGAAAAGCTCCATTTCTCACCACATGTCAAGACAGGTGGAGTACTCCGTGGAGCCCAGGAGGACGTCGGGAGGTCTGTACCACAAGGTAACCACTTCATTGGAATATGTGTGGCTGGGCACGGATTTGGCTCTTGCAAGACCTGTGGGTTACATGAAATATAAAGCATAAGAGGTAATAGGAGTACCAGTTTTAAATTTGAATGTTCGCAATTTTAAAAGGCCAAACATCACTGCGATACAGAATCACTGATACGATGCCAAGGTTAACGTGGATGTTGAAGCAAACACGTTGTGGTCGCCGTGTTTTGAACACATGCTAAAAACTATTAAATTATTTATATTCCCAAATAATGCAATGATGTCATAAATCTAATAAAATATCAACAGAGTAAACCAGTAATTCAAAAACTGTTGGCTGTAACAGGAAAGATTAGAAATGTCCTGGATTTTTCAAAATATGTTACATAGAACTCTAGTTCTGAAAGTTAAAAAAGTTTTAAATGTTATCAGAAAGGGTTCCTTGTTAAACAACTTTGAGAAAAGATGGATTTATAAACTTAGACAGATTTCCAGTAACAAGATTCCTCGGTGCTTCTGATTTTTCTTGTGTGTTCTGTGAATCTGCGAGGAGAAAGTACACTTTGCTCAAGGACTGTCTCAAAGCTTCTTGTGGTTTCAGTGTTTTCTCAATATTCATTAAATGCCTATTAGTGAAGTTCATCTGAAAAGGCAACTAATAAAAAAAGTCAAATAGCCTTTGTACATACTGATGAGATGGTATATAAAACGTTAAAAGGGCTTCTAAGAATTTTTAAAACTATGGAAATGGTCACAATGTTTTTTTAAGTGGAAAAATATATGTAGTTTGACCTTATAACCATAAACATTGATGTACAAAAAAAAAGACTGACCAAAAATATATTTAAATGTCTTCATTGGCTATCATTGGATACGGGATTAAAAATATATTTAAATGTCTTCATTGGTTACCTGTGGATATGGGATTATCCATTTTTTTAATTTAGTAAGTCTCTAAGTTTTGTGCAATATAATTCTTTTTAAAATAAAAAATCTATAGATATTTTTTAAAAGGAAAAATGTAATAAATCCCTATCTGGCTATGTTTGTGAATGAAAAGTGCTATAGTTTGGGTCTGGAGGCTCCCCTACAGGACCATGCAGTAAAGGCTTGGTCACCAGCTAGTGGTACCACGAGGAGGGGATGGCACCTGTGGGAGGCGGGCCTCCTGGGAAGAACCTGGGGGCAGGCCCTTGCGGGGATACTGGGACATAGTCCACTCCATGATTCCCGGCTGCTCTGGGGTGAGTGACTCTGCTAAGCCCCTGCTCTCTGCTGTGATATCCTGACTCTCACAGACCCACAGGCAGCAGAATCAACTACCCACAAGCTCAAATCTCTGGAACTACGAGAAAAATTAAATTTCTCCTCCTTGTAAAGTATTCTACCCCAGTGATGGAAAGCTGATTAGCCCAACAAGTCTATGGTATTATTGACTATTATGATGCCAAGAGCACATAAAACATTTTATAGGAAGCTTACCATAATGTACTCATTTTAAGGCTTTTTAAAAAATTTACACAATATTTAGGAACATGATTTTTCCCAATTTATTAAGTACAGCATCCCATTTTCTGTATTACATGTAAAATTTGAAATTAATAGGACAGCTGGTAAGAACAAAAATTAATAAATTCAACGGTGATAACAATTAAACATTTTTCAACAGTGCAGGTTTCACGATAATGATAGCATGTTATGAATTGGGTAGTGCGTATAAACATATTGAAATGCATAGATGACACACATACAAGCATAATTATGGAATGCAATTTTCTGCAAATGAATAGAATAATCATCTTCAGCAAGATTTCCACAGTACTCTCATTTCTTTTCTCTGTAAGGTTTTATCCTACCTCAACACAGGCAAAAGTGAACAAGAGAAAAGATAATTGGGATAGGAAAGCACATCTAGATTTGACAATCTCATCAGAAGGCCTAGCTCCTGAGTTGCCTATGCTCTGTACAGAAACCAAAGAGCTAAGTGTGAGTCCTAAAATAGGTTCTGACTCATTCCAGGTGGTGTTGTCAAGTCAAGTGGGATGCAAAAAAAACATCCAGGCTGGATTCATTTGGTTTGCTCAAAGTCCTGTTGTCAGAAAGCTAGGCCATAGGGACAAGAGAATGAAAGACTATGAGATTTTCTTTGACAGCTGAGATGGCCAAGCTAGCTATTAAAATATTGTGGAATTTCCAGTGGTAAAGAGGAAAAAATATCTCAAAATATCTTAGAAGTAGTAAAAATCAAAACAGTTACATTTAATTTCAGATCAAATATGAGTTTGTTAAATTGGTTAAATACTTTTGGAACACATATATAGTTAAGTTCCTGGTCTGTATCGTCCTCTTCCTGCTACAAGCTCAGGTCAAAGAATGCCCATATTTCATTCAGAAGGACCACATAACTTCCCAAAAGAACAGTGAAGATGTGCTTTTATTATCTAATTTTTTAAACTATTAGGACTGGGTTTCTTAAAATGTTTTGCCTATAAATGTGTCATACGGAATGAAGAATGTTGTTACATTTTTCAGATACAGTCTACTGCACTGTTTGAGAAAAAAACATATCATCTCACATTCATAGCCAATTAAAATAATTTTTGTGGAATTTCTTGTATATTGAGGAACAAAATGTTTTTGCCCTGATGCTGTTTCTGTTCAGTTAAAGCAATAAATCCCAAACATTTCAAGGAGTAAGCAAATTATTAAAACAATGGCTCAAAGTGGGGGGACAAGAAAAAGAATACTGTGAGGTATAAACATACAACTACATTTTTTCCAAATATTTTTGTTAAAGATAATGATATGTATTTATACAGTTCATGCATCAGAACACGCTTACTCATGCAAAATTTATTAAACTGTATCCTCCAGGTGAAAACTGCAGGACAGGATTAATTAGCACAGCATGTGTGAAAGCTTTCTTTCTCTGGTCCTTGTCAGTTGCTATGGTTACACTACAGGAAGAGAACTACACTACCTTTAAAAAAAAGGAAGTTCACACGTTATTATCAAAACTTCTTACATTAATGTTTAGTTTGAATTAAAAGTCAAAGAGCCATGTGAAATGCTAAGCAGATGAGTATAGGTTACCTGCATGTTGCTGCCGTGGTGGGTCTGTAAAGGAGAAGGGATACAAACTCCTATGGTCCTTAAAATGCCTTACATAACAGTCACTGTATACAGTTCTAAAGCTTGCCATTTCTAATGAAGGAAAGATCCCAAGGTAGAGGGGTAAATCCTGCTACTGAAGCTGTACTGCCAGTGATTCAAAGTTAAGCTGACCTGGTACCAGAATGGCAGCAACTGAGATTTGGCGGGGAGCTAAGAAGCTTTTAGCTAGCTACTTACCAAGGAAAGAATTTCTTTTCTTCTCTGTTCAGAGATGTTATCTTATAGATAACATCTGCATCCACCCTGGTTCTACCCCTTGGCAGACACAGAATAAGCAACAAGATAGTGCTTCCAAAACTTACTTGAGCAGACCAGCCCTTCAGTATCAAATAATGAAGCCTTTGTAGTTCTCCCTGCTGCAAACAGACTTTGCCAACTACTTCTCTTATTTTAAATTCCCTCCCTTTATTTCTCTACTACAGAACAGAGAGACAGGAATGACTTGATCTTCTCGGAGCTTTCCCCATTTGCTCCTTCGGGTCTGATCTGCTAGGGAAATACACTGAAACCAGTGCATTCTCAAATGCATACCTTTGTAGGTCACTGTGGTCAATGCCATGTTTTTAACTGACACACACAAGTGATTTCCTCCAAAATGTTTCCTCTAGCTCATACTTGTCCTCGAGCTTTGGATCTGGCTCTGTTCAGTACCCCACAAGACACAGGCACCAGGATGTCCTCTCAGTACTCAAGACAACCCCAATCAGAAGTAACAGAGGAAACATGCCCAAGTAGGAGCAAGAGTATTTACTGGTAAACAGTTTTAGGTAAAGAGCAGCTAAAGTTGTTTCAACTGTACACAGATATAAAGGAGATTTTATGTTCCAGGCACATAAAGTTAGTTTCCAGTTCCATTCTTTTTTTTGTAATTGGTGAAACTGGGTGGGAGCTTGGTTATCTAATTCTATGGAGAAAATTGCTGAGTCTAGCGGAAGGGCTCAGAAATGGTAATTCCCATTTCTCTGCTTTGTCTAGGGAAATGAGAAAGAATTGGCAAAACTAACTTGCTTCTTTCTAATAAAATGGATTTAACAATGATGAAAGATGAATTAGCAGCAGTCAACTAAAACTGGGTGCACAGGACTATCTGACAAATTCAAATTCTTTCAAGAGAAAAGGTGACTGTTGTGATTGACATTGCTTTCATTTTTATAAGAAAGTCACCCCCACGCTGGCTTCTCAACACATCTCATTCCCCCTTCTGGGAAACAGCACCTTGCTCTTAATTCCAAAATCATTTCTAGGAGGACTCCTTTACAACTTGATTCCAAAAACATGCGCAATGCTTGTATTGCATTTTCCTATCGAGTGGTTAGGTTGGTGAAAGACCTTGAGATCACCAGGTTCCTCGAGCAGGTTAAGGAGTAAGGGAAAGGGAAGACTGAGATTTCTTTCCCATTCCAAAGTCCCCGGGGCGATTTCTTCTTTGCCATAATGTTTTCTCTTTCTGTTTTTTTTTTTGGTACCGGGGATCGAACTCAGGTCCCGGAGCTTGCAAGGCAGGCGTCGGAAAAGCTGAGTGAAATCCCCGGCCTGACATAATGTTTCGTTTCTTTTTTTTTTTTTTCCAGCTTTAATTG